CACTACACTACTAACGACTACTCTCTCTCTCTACTAATAGTAGAGGTAGTATAGCACACACTACTACTAACACTACTCTCTCTCTCTCTCTCACTAATAGTAGAGGTACGTATGCACATACATACAAGACTCTCTCTCTCTCTCTCTCATAATGAGAGGTATATGCACATACATACAAGACTCTCTCTCTCTCTCTCTCATAATGAGAGGTACATGCACATACATACAAGACTCTCTCTCTCTTTCTCTCTCTCTCTGAATGTGTGCATGCACACGCATGCTCGTGCTTGTGAGCATGCATGCTCAAAAATTTATGGATATATCTGTACACATGTGTGTGTGCAGGAAAAGGATTTGGTCCAACCAAAGGCAGACCGCTACAATGTCCGCACTAGTTCAAAACCCTAGTGGGGTCCTTAGACACCAAATTTTTTGGATATACCCTACTCATCCTAGTGACCAAGCTTAAGAGAAAAAATAATTCACACACTAGAAGTGCCTAAAAGTATCCTGCACGAAAGTGAACACAAATTGTCCATTTTTTAATGGTCAAATCCAGGAAACTCAATATCTGTGTTTCTTAAAAAGTAAGAATTGTTCATCTGGTGATGATGAGACAATCGATTAAATTTAGGATCAAACAAATTATTTTTTCTTTTCTAAAATGGAAGGCACATAATTCACTGCATTTCCTCTGTCTTAAAAAAAACCATTTTTGGGGTTTTTTCCTGAAAGTTTTCATGATCCTGTTCACTGCGTCCAATAGAGTCCATGTGCAAAATTTGGGTCCAAACAAATGCCCCTAAGGCCCCCCAAAAATGGGGTGTAACAATCCATCCCAGGGCAACCAAATCCTTAGTGCAAGTGCGTGTGCAAAAGAAAAAGAAGAGAATAAATATTGTATTAACCTTACACATAATACATATACATGAACGTGGAAAACACACACACTCTGTCACCCCCAAACCCCTTCTCCCCCCCCCCCCCCCACTCCCCAAAAAAAAAACAAAAAAACAAAAAAAAAAAGAAAGAAAAAGAATATGCACACAATGCACGCACACAAGTCACCTCGCAAAGAAAACATAAGCAATTGATGAAAAAAACATTATTCACTCTCCCCATCCATCCCTCCCTCCCACCCCCCACCCCCCACCTGCTGGGCAACCCCCAACGCACATATTGAGAAGTGAATACGCACCCACTACCAAAAATAAAAAAAGAAAAATGTATACAATTAGAAGTGAATAGGCACCCACTACAAGCAATGATGCAATTCACACAAAAAGAATAACATGAAAATGCGTACAATTTGAAAGGGAGTTGAGAATAGGAAGAAGGAATGCATAAGTCAAGCAAAACAAATTGAAAAGTGAAAGGAGAAGCAACTAAACAGATAAGCCTATTGCATAGAGGACATGTCTCATTGAGGTCATAGAATATCATTTTTCTGGAAGGATTGAAGAAGAAAATTGATCATTTCACTCTTTCATTGTGATAGTCGGGCAAGTAGATAGCTGCCTAATGTTTGTGTGCATGAGAGAGAGAGAGAGAGAGGACACAAGTACCTGTAGCTCCTTAGCAGAGAGGTCAAGCTCTCTGCGAACTAAGATTTGTCTGACAACGAAGAAACTTCCAAGTCCAAGGAATCCTAAGAGGAACAGCAAGTAAGATAGTTGAATACCAAGTTCAAAGAGCTCCCCAATCTCATAAACCATATTCATAGACTCTCCTTCTGCCGCATGTGCAACTTGAACACCACACAACCAAGCTGTTATGCCAGAGGACAGAGCACATATCGATGGGTATGAAATATTAAGATTTTTTAAGTCACTGTCCAAAGGCAATCCCCATATCAAATCTGCAATGCAAAGGAAATTTCATAATCATCAAATAAAACGCAAATGCTACTACTAGCTCTCTCTATCTCTCTCCGTGGGTTTCAGTCACCTAGCTTAATGGAAGGTTGAATCCAGGTCACTACCCAAGGAAGAAAAGGAAATCTACAAGGATTCAATCTTTTGGGCCAAAAGCGCTTGAAATTTTTTTAAGTTTAACCTTCTAACAACAACAACATTGACAGGGAATTGGTAAAACCTCAAACTCTTTTGAGTTCAGATAAAAGGTGGTGCAAGAAAACTACCCCTGGTTTTTTGCCAATCCTCTATTTGCCTTCAGGGAATTTTAGTCACTTCCACCAAAATATGACACGAAAAACTCGCATGATTTCAAAATAGTTCAGGGCAGTCCTCCTAGTGTGAGGGATTAGTGGGTGTTGCAATTGAAAAAATAAAATCCTTCCAAGTATTTCTCTTAAAGTAGGGTATTAATAAGTGCTTTAAGATCATATTTAAATTCTTTCAAGTGTGCAGATCAAGCTGGCATTACCAATTAAACTGGCATGCTGTGTAAGGACAAAATAAGTGTCTAAATATAGAAAAAGTATAGCATTTTGATCTGGAATTCTGAGAAACTGAGTGGCTGCTAATTACCGTCGTTGATCTTTGGAAATAAATAAGGTGGCTTTCTCTTTCCTCCAAATATGTGCCTTCCTCCAAATATCTGCCTTCCTCCACAGCAACCAAGTATAATAAATATAAATTAGCAACAAGTATCACATTTGGTAGAATAAAACCGGCTGGAGCAACCAATTTTCCAAATCAAGAAAACAAATTTTAGGGTGACTACTATTTTGGAAGAATGGATAATGGATAAAATCCCAGGGGAGGATAGCAAGGACAAAGAGGGCAAAACAGTACAGGAGATGGCTGAATTTCTTAGAATGCAATTTCGATGACAGCATTGTTCAGAAGGATTCTCTTCCGATAAATTCAATGGGAAATGTAAAACACACATTCAGAAATGTCATTTGCATGATATGTATTACTTGTTCAATAAACCAAATTCCATACCTCTGGCACCATTTGCCATTAGTTGTTTTTTCTTTAGTGATAGTCACTACTAACATTAGTGAGCATGGATAATGGATAAAATCCCAGGGGAGGATAGCAAGGACAAAGAGGGCAAAACAGTACAGGAGATGGCTGAATTTCTTAGAATACAATTTCGATGACAGCATTGTTCAGAAGGATTCTCTTCCGATAAATTCAATGGGAAATGTAAAACACACATTCAGAAAAGTCATTTGCATGATATGTATTACTTGTTAAGTTCAATAAACCAAATTCCATACCTCTGGCACCATTTGCCATTAGTTGTTTTTTCTTTAGTGATAGTCACTACTAACATTAGTGAGCAATTAAGCTATGTATCGTCGGTTTGGTACCTCAACTGAAAATGTCACCATGTAAAACTATACCTCCTCTCTACCTATTAAATTAAGTTATGACTCATTACTAATTTGAACCACAAAGATGAACACTAGAGTAAGCTCATTCAAGACCAACTAAAGTACGAAAAACCTAGGATCCATCAGAAATTGCTATATTAAAAAAACCCACTTGGGTTCTCCATGGTGACTGATGGGGAACAAATAGTCTGGGACCTCATACCCAGTACAAATAGATAGGAACTTCTATTAGCGATGTCATCCATTAAGTAGGTAATCTTCACATCCTATAAAATGGCCCAAAAAGCAGCAGGAAAAAAAAAAAAGTGAGTTGTAGATCTTGCCATAAAGAACCAAGAATGGAAAAATCATGCTAGAAAAGAGATGCATAAGTTAAACAACCCAAAGCTTTGAGATGTGCCAAAGAACATAAACATATGGTTAATATTAGGAAATAAATGGCCAATGCTAACTTTCAAATCTAGTTTTATATTTTTGAAGACAATGGCATCTCTAGCAGCTATTTACTCAAAGATGCATGTTTTGTCATTAGCAATGTGGTAACTTTTTCACTTTTATTGGCCACAATCTACATCCCACATATATAAATTGCACACAGTCAAACTTCAGACTTTGTTCTATTCATCTACTTGCTAATTAATATTTTCGGCATTTGAGTAAGCAGATAACTAGATAGGAGGAAGAATGAAAGGATCATCATCATCAGATCCTTTTCCTCACTATTTAGGCTCTGCTATACGAATCGTAGTCTATCATTCTACTCTATCAAGGGCTATACCTTCAATGAGGCTATAAGTCCCCAAATCATTTCTCACTACTTCCAACCGTGTCCTTTTGGCCTAACCTTTGCCTTTTTTGAGCCTTCAACTTGAACCAACTTCACCGCTTAACAGGAGTTCTACTAAGTCTGCGATGCACATGGCTAACCCACCTAAGTCTATTTTCTCTCTTCTTGTTGCCTATTGAAGCCACACCTAAGTCTCCCGAATGTATTCATTGCGAATTTTATCCCTTCTTGTCTTGCCACACATTGATCTCAACATCCTCATCTCAACTATGCTCAAACTATGGGTTGTTTCGTGACAGTTCAATATTCCGCCCCATAAAGCAAAGCTGGTCTCATAGATGTCCTATAGATCTTCCCCTTTAACGTCAATGATATGCGGCAATCACATAAAACTCCAGTTGCACATCTCCACTTTGCCCATTCAACTCTAATTCTATGTGGGCCATCTTCATCAATCTCTCCATTTTCATTGATTTATCAACCCAAGATATTGAAATTGCACTCTTTTTGGACTCCTTGTTAAAGTCTTACAATATTTCTTCAATCTTAGGTTCTACAGTACATGTCTAAGACAGTGAGTTCCGAACCGAGCCCTTGTTTTAAAACACCGGTTAGTACTCATTGACACAGTTGCTTGTTTGCCTAACTCTTATGCTGCCCTGGCATATACATATAACCACAGATTCTTAGGTAATTATACTTCTCAAAAGAACTTCAAAAAAAAAAAAATTATACTTCTCAAAAGATACAATTGGTATGTGGTTTTTAATTTTTTATTTATCAATGAAAACTAATAACAATTAAAAAAAACTTGGGGCTAGCAGCAAAGAAATGACCATTAAAATCATCAGATTACTAAATCATTAATGATATAAAGCCAAGCTTCTACATAACAGAATCATAGAAGAGTAAAATAACAGTTAATCTGCATGTAGTTTTTTTTCTAAAAGATAGGAACTGGAATTTCTCATGTAAAACTCACTTCAGTCCTAATAAATAACAATAATATTGGTTCAGATTTCAGAATATCCAAACAATCGAATTTTTTAATAGAAATGTCAGCTGATTTCCTCTTTTTCCCTTTTAGCCAAATTCGGATCGAAATTCAATGGAAAAGGGTGCGAAATGCATCTTAATTTGGTCAAAAAAAAAAAAAAGATGGGCATAAACCCATTAAGGGGATGTGGCGAAAAAAAAAATCAATCCTTGGAATTACTTAATCACCAGAAGATGATAAAATGGAAACCCACCAAGGTAATAATCACCCCGAAATAAAGGGGAAAAAAACATAAATATAAGCATATTGAAGAAACCCAAACTGCAAAAAATAAAAATAAAAAATGGTGCTAATAATACTTACACGACAAAACTGCTGAACAGACCTTTGCAGAGAGAAATTACTCTCGTGACTGGCCAAAGAACCCCTCAAACTTCTCTTGTTAATGGAACTGTAAATTCGCAAGCATCTCAGTTGAGCTGACTTAGAACAAAGCATAGGACTCTTTGTTGAAGAAAACAGTAACAGTAATGGAAATTTAGTAGCGTGGGTATTAGGAATACAGTGGGTAGCCATGGTTTATGAGCTCTCCCTCTCCCTCTCCCTCTCCCTCTCTATCTCCTCACGAATTCCTCTCAGCAGGTTGT